CTTTCCTTACAATCATGCCAACAACTTCAGTGTCTTACACCCCAGTGGTTTCTGGTGACCCTCTGTGGACTGTGTGCCCCTCTGCTGTAGTTTCCCATAGGGTTTTATGTTGACTGTTGTGTGCATCTAGAGATAGGGGCTAGGTTAGCACAGTGGGGGATGGGAGTCATGGGGGGGGGGGTACTTGTTCTTACAAATATGATGTTTATGCATTTTCAGATATGTTGCAATGCATTTTTAATTAAGTCGGGGAGGAAACTATAAGTAAGGGCACCTAAACTGACCTTTTCACAGTGCAGTGCATTATTGAGCACAAGCTCCATTCGCAACAATGTGTTTTCCAATAATATAAATACATAATATAAACATTTCCAATAATAAAAATAATAATGTAATGTATATAAAAAGAAGTAGAAAATAGCAAAAAAGACATTAAAAAGCATACACAAATCTGCCAAAGGTTATGGAGTGTTTATGTGACTGTAGCTGCCGATATAACAGCCGTGTTTAACAGCCAAGGTCCACCCTCCCCAATATTCATTTCTGTGGTATATTGTATAAGAAACATGTCACCATCCTTATTGAACTTGTTGCAGATTTTCTTTTACCGCTGGGCACATAAATTCATCCGCAGCTGGTGAACATTCCGGAATCCGCGCAGCAGCTGCCTTGCGTACTATTAATACATTACAACGCGCTTACTACAAAATGTGAACATAAATCAAGAGGCATTATACTCCTGAAATTCTAATAAAAAACTAATCCTTTGTATTGGGGGAGGTCAGAGGGAATGTTTCTCCGAGTTCACACCTGGGCCCATAAAATGAAATTTCCCTTTACAATGGAGCTTTTAAGTGTTTACAGGTCCGAACCTTTACTGAGGGCTCTGATATGTCAGGATGAGTTGTGTTATAAGGGAGCCTTCTTTTATGGTGAACACATTTTCTACCTTTTAATAAGTCTCAGGAAGTATTAACACTTGTTTCCAAGAGGGTTCCACTGAGGACCCTCTTGGTACAGTTCATTCTCCCTCATATAAGTATCCTCCTGCCAGAGTCCAGTCCCCTCCATGTAATGAAGACCCTCTTGGCATGGTCAACCCTCTTGTAGATAATGAGGAGCCTCCTGGTTGGGTGTACCTTTCCGCATCTAATGAGGGTCCTCTTGGCATGGCTGACCCTCTCCCTTGTGATGAGAACCCTTCTAGTCCAGTCACCCTTCCCCATGTGCAGAGTTCCCCATGTGCAGAGGGTCCTCCTTGCACAATCTACCCTCCCCCATGTAATGGAGGAGTCCTTCCAGAACAGTCCACTTTCCACCATGTAATGAGGCTCCTCTTGGCATGGTCCACCTTTGCTCATGTAATAAGGACCCCCCTGGCACAGTCCACCTGCCCCCATGAAATAAGGATCCTCTTCTCATGGTCCAACCTCCCCCATGTAATGAGAACCACCCTAGCACAGCCCATTCTCCCCCCTCATGGCATGGTCCACGCTCTCCCATGTAATGAGCGTCCTCCTGGCACAGTCCAACCTCCCCCATCTAATGAGCACCCCCTTGGCAAAGTAAACTCTCCCCCATGTAAAAAGGACCCTCTTGGCATGGTTCACCCTTCAGAATGTAATGAGTGTCCTACTGGCATAGTCCACCCTCCTCCATGTAATAAGGACCCTCCTGGCACAGTCCAAGCTTTGCCATGCGCTGGTGTTTTTTCCTGGCAGGGTTCACTCTCCCCAATGTAAAGAGGCCCCTGTTGGCACTGTTCACAAACCCACATCTAATGAAGACTCTTCTGGCTTGGTCCACCCTCCTCTGTATTGAGGGTCTTCCTGCCACAGTCCACCCTATGACATGTAATAACATGGCCAACCTCCCCCAGGTAATAAGGACTCTTCTGGCATGGTTCACCCTTCCTAGTGCAATGAGTGTCATCCTGGCAAAGTCCAAGTCCACCCTTCCCAATGTAATAAGGACCCTCTTGGTATGGTTCATCCTTCCCCATTTAATGAGTGCCCTCTTGGTATAGTCCACCCTCCCCCATGTAATATGGACTTTCCTGGTACAGTCCAAGATTTCCCATGTCTTGGTGTTTCTTCTGGTAGGGTTTGCTCTCCCCAGTGTAAAAAGTACCCTCCTGGCACTGTTCACAAACCCACATCTAATGAAGACTCTTCTGGCTTTGTCCACCCTCCTCCATGTATTGAGGGTCTTCCTGCCACAGTCCACCCTATGACATGTAATAATATGGCCAACCTCCCCCATGTAATGAGGGCCCTCCTGCCATAGTTCACCATTCCTCATTCTCCGAGCTCTCCTACTGTGTTTGTGCCAACTTGTTTTCATTTGAGACTGGCATGACCATGGCTATCTTTGGGTACATGGCTTTAACCAGAATAAACCATCAACATGCAACCCAACAACTACCCCATGTGTACTGGCCCAACTATGTCTTTATTTAAGCCACCTCAATCAGCCTCTTCCTGAAGTTGTAATTGTGAGCCGTCTGTGTGTATTAATGGCAATTTTTTTCATCTTTGAGTGGAGCAGGTGGGTAATATTACAGACATTTAACTTAGAAAAAGCTCTGGTGGGAAGGATTAGAAGCTGGGACAAGACTGGGCAGAGGAACACAGCTTCTACAATTCTCCAGTCAGCCGAGTAATATCCTCTGCTGTGTGCTCAACACGGAACAAAGCCGGTCTTTCTGCATTGTTAATGTGACTTTAGTTGGATTAAAATGCACACAGAGTCATGCAATTATTTTGGCTTAATATCATAGGGGGGATGCGTGTGTGTGTGGTGAATTCCGATCGTTCCACCTAAGCCAGTGACGGTCCCTGGGAAGTCAAAGTGATACAGCCGTACAGAGAACATTCCTAATGGAATATTTATTCCATTCACCATGAAAGTGTGATTGCTATTCTATCTATCTATCTATCTATCTATCTATCTATCTATCTATCTATCTATCTATCTATCTATCATCAGGGGTGGACTGACAACTCATGGGGACAACTCCCCCGGGCAATAGGGGATCATGGGGCCCCTGTGTCCTTGCCCAAACTCAAAAAAGCCATGAAAAAGCTATGAAAAAGGTACCAGGGGCATCTCATGGGGCCCCCTACTGATCCTGGGCCCTCGGGCAGTGCCCGAGTTTCCAAATGGTCAGTCCGCCCCTGTATCTATCTATCTATCTATCTATCTATCTATCTATCTATCTATCTATCTATCTATCTATCTATCTATCTATCTATCTATCTATCCATTGCTAGTTGTAGAATGGTAAAAGGTCTGGGGGACCTTTGAGCACTCCAAGGAGTAATGTGAACAGTGGGCGTGGCCAAATTGGGTTAAAAGGGGCTTTAAAGGGCATGGTTAAATAAAACCCTGAGCCTCCTTGGACCTATAGAAATATGCTTTGGTTGCTGTTCCACAAGCAAGGGTTTGACAGACATGTATAGATCTCAGTACAATCATTTTTAATAAATGAAACACTTACAACTCATATGCTTTTCTACGCAGAGAGTATAGAAAGCTGTAACATTTTGTCTGATCCTACCTTAAAGGATAAGATCACCTTTGGAACATGTTACATGTTCCACCTGTTTTTAGGGTGGAACATGTAACTGTTCCAATAGCTGCAGCCACGCTTGCCGCCCCCCTCCCTCTGACAGATAGTATGAGGAGAAGTCACCCCGTACTACCTGTCAAATTTGAAAACAGTGCGGCCGTGCGGGGCTCCACCCACATGGCTTCTTCATTCATTCACAGACAGATGAATTAATGAACTGCATGTCCCGGTAGACTTAGCGGCTGTGGGCTTGTGGATTTCAATGAACTACTACGGCGCTCCACAGCACAGTATTTCATTGAAGCTTTCTGTCAGAATATCACCTTGACCATACATCCCGTACATCCCATACATCCCGTATATCCCATACATCCCATACATCCTGTACATCCCGTACATCCCATACATCCCGTATATCCCATACATCCCATACATCCTGTACATCCTGTACACCCCGTACATCCCATACATCCCATACACCCCATACATGCCATACACCCCGTACATCCCATACATCTCGTACACCCCGAACATCCCATACATCCCATACATCCTGTACATCCTGTACATCCTCTACATCTTGTACATCCCATACACCCCATACACCCCATACATCCCATACACCCCGTACACCCCATACACCCCGTACATCCCATACATCCCGTACATCCTATACATCCATACATACACCCCGTACACCCATACATCCCATACATCCCGTACACCCCGTACATCCCATACACCCCATACACCCCGTACACCCCATACATCCTGTACATCCCATACATCCTCTACATCCCGTACATCCCATACACCTTGTACACCCCATACATCCCATACACCTCGTACACCCCATACATCCCATACACCCCGTACATCCCATACACCCAAACCCCACATACACCCCATACATCCTGTACACCCCATACATCCTGTACATCCTGTACACCCCGTACATCCCGTACACCCCGTACATCCCATACACCCTGTACATCCCATACATCGCATACCCCCCATACATCCCATACATCCTGTACATCCTGCACGGCAAGCAGATATTCTGACAGATCTGCAGGAGACCTGCATGACATCAGCAATCTGCTGATCACTGGTGCAATGCTTTCCAGGCTCCTTTTGCCAAAAATAATAAATGCACATTTTTTTTTTACCTGCAAAAATGTGTATTTATTATTTTTGCTCAAAAGGTGAACTTATCCTTTAAAAAAGAACTTTATTAAAATAGAAAAAGACTGTTTAGCAACCAGAAACTGTTGAGACAATGAACACATTAGTAAGGAGTCTGAGGAGTGCTGTGGACAGATGTGTGTAATGCACAGAGTGCAGGGGTCAGGAGTCTGTAATGCAGAGAGTACAGGGTCAGGGGTCTGCAATGCACAGAGTGCAGGGGTTAGGAGTTTTTAATGCACAGGTTGCTGGGGTCAGCAATCTTAATACACAGAGTACAGAGGTCAGGGGTGTGTAACAGGGGCAGACTGACAACTCATGGGGCCCCCGGATCATGAGGCCCCTGTGTCCTTGCCCAAACTCAAAATAACCTATGAAAAAGGTACCAGGGGCATCTCATGGGGCCCCCTACTGACCCCGGGCCCTCGGGCAGTGCCTGAGTTTCCAAATGGTCAGTCCGCCCCTGGTCTGTAATGCACAGAGTGCAGGGTTAAGGGCAGGGGTGGACTGACAACTCATGGGGCCCCCCGGGCAAAAGGGGATCATGGGGCCCCTGTGTCCTTGCCCAAACTCAAAAAAGTCTATGAAAAAGGTACCAGGGGCATCTCATGGGGCCCCCTACTGGCCCCGAACCCTCGGGCAGTGCCCGACTTTCCAAATGGTCACTCCGCCCCTGGTTAAGGGTCTATAATGCACAGTGTTCTGTCTTCAGGAGTCTGTAATGCACAGAATGCTGTGGTCAGTCCCTGATTTAAGAGTACATAGTGCACAGGTACAGAGATGTCAAGAATATATAACACACATGGGTTGATTTACTAAAGGCAAATAGGCTGTGCACTTTGCAAAGTGCAATTGCACGTTGCAAGAGCAGTTGCTCTAGAACTTAGTAAATGAGCAGAAGCTCTGCTGACTTCCATCATCCCAATCATGTTGGTTGTGTGTGATTGGGTATTTCTTGTAAAGTGAAGCTTTACCTCATTTACTAAGCTCTGGAGAAACTGCACTTCAAGAGAGCAACTGCAGATTCTGGCTGCAACAGTGGCTACACTGGCTAGTGATCGTAGCATTGGGGATCTGGGGCAACCCGTAAGTTGATGCAGATTGCTAGTAATGCTGATCAAGAAAAATACCCACTACTGAGGATGCAGGCGTACATTGCCACATCCCAGAAAAAGACAAAAAGAACAAACTAGAGAGAGAAGGCATCATAGAAAAAACAATAGCATTTAATAATTCACATAAAAAAATTGTAAGAAAATCCATGTCCATCGTGTGCAAAGACTTTTCATAAAATCATGCAGCGTGAAGAATGGTGTAGCGTTCCGCAAGTGATTCCGACGCATTTCGAAGTTCACCGCTGCTTCATCAGGGACCTTTTGGGACTATTCAAGGAATTTTCCAGTTATTACATGTCAATACTTTCCCAAACTGAGCTCATGCTATTCCCTCCAGCCCGTTCCCCCTCCCCTGACTTCTCCATCAAAATCAATAATACAACCATCAGTGTCTCCCCTCATGCCAGGGTACTAGGTGTAATCCTGGGTTCCCATCTGTCCTTTCAGCCCCAAATCCAATCACTGTATAAATCCTGTAGACTTCACCTCCGCAACATCTCCAAGATACGCCATTCTTAACCTTTGAAACCACTAAGCAACTTATTCACTCCCTTGTTATCTCTCGCCTTGACTTGTAACTCCCTCCTCATTGACTGACCTCATCGCAGGCTATCCCCTCTTCAGTCTATCATGAATGCTGCTGCCAGACTCCTCCACCTTACCAACCGTTCCATATCTGTCATCCCTCTCTGCCAATCCCTCCACTGGCCTCCACTCAGTGTCCTTCATCCCTCTCTGCCAATCCCTCCACTGGCCTCCACTCAGTGTCCTTCATCCCTCTCTGCCAATCCCTCCACTGGCCTCCACTCAGTGTCCTCCACCCCTCTCTGCCAATCCCTCCACTGGCCTCCACTCAGTGTCCTCCACCCCTCTCTGTCAATCCCTCCACTGGCCTCCACTCAGTGTCCTCCATCCCTCTCTGCCAATCCCTCCACTGGCCTCCACTCAGTGTCCTCCATCCCTCTCTGCCAATCCCTCCACTGGCCTCCACTCAGCGTCCTCCATCCCTCTCTGCCAATCCCTTTACTGGCCTCCACTCTGGTCCTCCATCCCTCTCTGCCAATCCCTCCATCCCCTCCACTCAGCGTCCTCCATCCCTCTCTGCCAATCCTTTCACTGGCTTCCCATTATCCAATGGATAAAATTCAAAATATTAACAATAATATATAAAGCCATTTATAACTCCGCCCCAAATAACATCACCAATCTTGTCTCCAAATATCACCCAAACCGTCCTCTTCACTCCTCGCACGACATCCTGCTCTCTAGCACCCTTGTCTCCTCCTCCCATGCTGGTCTCCAGGGCCTCTCCAGAGCCTCCCCCATCCTCTGGAACTCTCTACCCCAATTTATCAGACTATCGCCTACTCTGCTCACTTTTAGGCGATCTCTGAAAACCTATCTCTTCAGGGAAGCCTATCCTGCCCTCAGCTAATAACGGAATCTTCTATTCCTCCCCCACAGTTACTACCTTTTGTACCACTAGCCCCTCCCTCCTAGATTATAAGCTCCAAGGAGCAGGGCCCTCCTATCCCTCTTGTATTGAACTGTATTGTTGCTGTATTGTCTCCCGTTATATTGTAAAGCGCTGAGCAAACTGTTGGCGCTATATAAATCCTGTATAATAATAATACAATTATTCAAAATTGACATTACATCTCTAATATACAAAAGCTTACCGCCACATAAATACGAATGTCAGTTACCACTACTTCCTGAGAGGGCGCTATGTGTGTAGTTGAAACTCCCTCACCTCACCAATTACAGCGAGTAATGCGCTGCGGCACCCCTAGCGTGTCTATCTATCGATCTATCTATCCTATCACTATCTATCTATCTATCTCTATCTATAATCTATCTATATCTATCTATCTATCTATCTATCTATCGATCTATCTATCTATCTATCTATCTATATCTATCTATCTATCTATCTATCTATCTATCTATCTATCTATCTATCTATCTATCTATCTATCTATCTATCTATCTATCTATCAATATCTATCTATCTATCTATCTATCTATCTCTATCTATCTATCTATCTATCTATCTATCTATCTATCTATCTATCTATCTATCTATCTATATATCTATAATCTATCTATCTATCTATCTATCTATCTATCTATCTATCTATCTATCTATCTATCTATCTATCTATCTATCTATCTATCTATCGATCTATCTGTCTATCTATCTATCTATCTATCTATCGATCTATCTATCAGTGACCAAAAGAGTGAGTTGAACACTGGCAGCCTTTCAGTACAGATAGATCTTCTCGTTATAATAATATAATATTCTAGTGTTCTTTAACCCTGAGAACATAATTCAGGTAATAATGATGATGAAATTGATGATGATAATAATAATAATAATTGTACTTTCCACAGCTGGCACAATGTGGAAGGAAAATGTTTTTCTCTGCATTTGCCATTCTAGCTGATTCTGCTGATAAAGTATTTCTGGCCTTTTTTACTAATTTGTTAAGTGCAGAATTTATGAACGCCCATTACAACGCGGCCGATCTGTCGCTGCGCTCTCACATTTCGATGGCGTTAAGTGGAGGTCGTGTCGTTAAATGTTCCGCCTGATGGTGTCCAGGCTGCTGGCTGGGTGTCAGGCTGTTCTGGTGCCAACGGCGTAACATCCAGCTCTCTCCGACACTTAGGAGAAAAACCGCCTGAATATTAATCAACATGCAAGAATTTACCAACAAGGACGGAACGTGTCCGGCGGTGGAGGAAACGACAACATCACTCCGTTCTGTACACGTCTCATCTCATGGAGGACACAGCAGGTGATACAACATCTATATCTCAATACAAGCTAGTATGATAATAGAATAGCAGCATGCGCTTCATGTTCCCAACAGTAGGGCATTATGGGAAAGACAGAAGCCATGATGGTCTTGCGGCTTTATTCTCCTGTCCTCCTAGTTGCTGTGGCTGCAATGAATATGAAGCATGATATTCTGTATTAAAGGGTCTCTAAACTACAGCCCGCTGGCCACATCTGGCCCGCTAAGAGATTTTATCTGGCCCACAGCTAGGGTCAGTGGTGTATCCTCCGTCAGATCTTTTGGTCTTCTGTGGGGGACCCTGATGTAAGGGGGGAACCCTGTGACGATCGTGGTGTCAGACCCCAGCCCTTCTCACCAAACTCGTGACCGAAGGACTAGCCAATCTAAAACTGCGATGTCACGTGTGTAACAATGCCACGCCCAGCTGCACCCTGCACAAAGATTTTCCAGCTCAGTGGACCACAATCGATGTACCGGCAGCCTGAGAGCAATTGTTACTGGGTCAGGTTAATTACGCAATAAACCCTTCACACTGCCACCACCTCCATTTTGTACAGAGAAAGAGGAAACTCGGCAATATCAGCAATATCACTATGATGGTTGAAATAATCATCTGTATACCACTGTCACAGCAGACAGGTTATACAGAGGGTTAAACACACACAGTAGCGCTTTTCAGTGGCAGGAATTCGCATTAAAAAGCTTTAGAAACAGTTCAACACTCTCAGAAAGTAAGATTTATTACTAAAAGGTCAAAAGGGTGCAATAAAAATATTTACAGAAAAAGATGTAGCCAATATATATATAAATATACAGAGAACAACAGCACAGCAAAGAGATAACAGAAAGGAATTTAGAGGGTTAAAGTACTTGCCAGTCAGCCTTGGTTTAAGCAGCTTCAAGATTCATAAGCCAAAAGGATTTATCTCCCACTGTCAGTTTCAATGTTAAAACAGGGGACTCTTCTCTCCCTTAACTCAGCTTAGCTTTTCTAGTATCTCCACTGGGTGCCTCCCTGGAGCAGTAAACCAATCGTCTCCTTTTGGGGAGGGAGGTGTAGGTGGAGCCCTAAGTTATGACTAGAAACTCTCATAGCTGCTATTATGATTCATAACTCATTCTCGGGCATTTGGCAGCCTGGGCACTAGTATATTAATACTCAGCAGCATCTGCAGAATGGTTAGAGATGAAACATGTCATATACACTTGAATGGTTCAGGAGATATACTTTCCTTCCCTCCTATATATGCCAGCTAGGGAATGTAATATACCAAACGATTTGTATTAACTTGACCAATCTGAAGATATGCCTGGTTTTATGTAAGTCTCTCATATTCTAAGATATGAAATCATAGGGGAAAATGGATGTTGAATGTGGTGTCTTGTTTTATGCTTTCTCTGGAATGTCTTTGAACTCCCGTGAAGGATTTGGTTTACGCTTTTACGATATCCCTGATTGCACAGCTACCAGACAGCTAGGCCCCAGCTCCATTGGGATTCTATAGCTCTGGAGCTCTCCTGCTGTGCTTTGGCTGCCTGTGACCTCTGTCACCACTCAGACCACATGTCACTCCACAGCGAGGGGGGGGGGATGATTGGAGGAGGCAGCCTGCTTTGGGAGTGAGAAATGGTACAACATGGAAAATTCTTACCAAAATGGGGGTCCATGTCCATCTCTGTGGGAACGATTGCTACAAACCCTCATAGGGGCCCTGAAATAAGAGGGAACCCTGATATGTAAGGGGGCTCTGAAGTTATGGGAGGGAGTCTGTTGTGAAAGGTGGACTTAGATACGAAGGGTGGGGATCTAATATGAAAGGGGACCTGGTCAGCTACATAATGATCGAAAGCCTTATGTAGTCAATCACGACTTAAAGTGGACCTGTCATTCAGTTGAGGTCTCCTATACCTTGAAGTAGACAACCACTACGGAGTCTATACTCAACTGCTGGGCTATGAGCAGGACATTGGAGGTCCTATACCTTTTTTAGGCCACTGATCTGGTCAGCTAGATAATGATCCAAAGTCTTACGTAGTCAATCACGACTTAAAGTGGACCTGTCATTCAGTTGAGGTCTCCTATACCTTGAAGTAGACAACCACTACGCAGTCTATACTCAACTGCTGGGCTATGAGCAGGACATTGGAGGTCCTATACCTTTTTTAGGCCACTGATCTGGTCAGCTAGATAATGATCCAAAGTCTTACGTAGTCAATCACGACTTAAAGGGGACCTGTCATTCAGTTGAGGTCTCCTATACCTTGAAGTAGACAACTACTACGCAGTCTATACTCACCTGCTGGGCTATGAGCAGGACATTGGAGGTCCTATACCTTTTTAAGGCCACTGATCTGGTCAGCTAGATAATGATCCAAAGTCTTATGTAGTCAATCACGACTTAAAGTGGACCTGTCATTCAGTTGAGGTCTCCTATACCTTGAAGTAGACAACCACTACGCAGTCTATACTCAACTGCTGGGATATGAGCAGGACATTGGAGGTCCTATACCTTTTTTAGGCCACTGATCTGGTCAGCTAGAAAATGATCCAAAGTCTTACGTAGTCAATCACGACTTAAAGTGGACCTGTCATTCAGTTTTATACTTCAGTTAAACAGAACACGTCGGCATTACCAAATCACGTTATACGTTTGACAATAAAAAGTTCCTCTTTCCTGAAATCAGTAAAAAAAAAAATACAACTTTGAGCTCCCAACATATCACTTACTGCCAATGGGAAAGATCACATGGTCCCTGGCTACCAGGAGCATAGAAGGTGCATGATCTCCTCAGAGACTGCAGGTAGTCTATTGTTCTGAATCAGAAGACCATACAAGCGAGAAAAGAGGGTCGTCAGGAATCAGTTCCAACTTATGCTCTACTGGCCATGTAAGGCCCAGAAGGGAGACAATTCATGAAGAGACTGTGGGGCATCCAAGAGAGATGCACAGTAAAGATCTAAGAAGAACAGTGTAGGATTTGGTAGGTGTGGGCAGGGGTGGACTGACAACCCATGGGGCCCCCCGGGCAATAGGGGATCATGGGGCCCCTGTGTCCTTGCCCAAACTCAAAAAGCCTATGAAAAAGGTACCAAGGTTATCTCATGGGGCCCCCTACTGACCCTGGGCACTTGGGCAGTGCCTGAGTTTCCAAATGGTCAGTCCGCCCCTGGGTGTGGGGAATAGTGGACATTTAAAGGATTGGTCACTTTTGCATGCCTTACTTACACTCAAGTGACTATTTAAAAAAAAAAATTGCAGAGCTATTGATCCTGTGAAACTGTATGCAAATGAGGGCAAAATTTACCCGGCTATTTTATTTATTATTATTTATTTATTTCTGGTACTTATATAGCGCTGTCAATTTACTCAATGCTTTACATACATATATTGTACATTCACATCAGTCCCTACCAGGGGCGGACTGACAACTCATGGGGCCCCCGGGCAATAGGGGATCATGGGGCCCCTGTGTCCTTGCCCAAACTCAAAAAAGCCTATGAAAAAGGTACCAGGGGCATCTCATGGGGCCCCCTACTGACCCCGGGCCCACACTGACAACTCATGGGGTCCCCGGGTAATAGGGGATCATGGGGCCCCTGTGTCCTTGCCCAAACTCAAAAAAGCCTATGAAAAAGGTACCATGGGCATCTCATGGGGCCCCCTACTGACCCCGGGCCTTCGGACAGTGCCCAAGTTTCCAAATGGTCAGTCTGCCCCTGGTCCCTAACCCTCAAGGGGTGTACAATCTAAGGTCCCTAACCCTCAAGGGGTGTACAATCTAAGGTCCCTAACCCTCAAGGGGTGTACAATCTAAGGTCCCTAACTCACATTCATACATACACATACAAGGGCCAATTTAGACAGGATCCAGTTCACCAACCAGCATGTCTTTGGAGTGTAGAAGGAAACCAGAGTACCCGGAGGAAACCCACGCAGGCACAGGGAGAACATGCAAACTCCAGGCAGGTGGAGCCATGGTTGGGATTTGAACCAACGACCCTAGTACTGCCAGGTGGAAGTGCTAACCATTTAGCCACTGTGCTGCCTGTATTTTCTTTCCAGGTTACATGTTATTCAGTTATTCAGGATGAAGTGAATCAGAAAAGTAACTCATTATGGCCATTAGATGGAACTGCTAATCATGAGAAAGAAAAAAACATATTTACTATGATAATCAGCTCCATCTAGGGGACCATAATACAGTATTTTCCTGATTTTCCTATGCACTCTATTCTGTATGAATGCATAATATTCGACATGGAGAGAAAATGGCCTAATAACATTCGATTTTTCCCCATTTATGCAGAATAAATATACATGCTCTTTCACAGGACGAACACAGCTTCCATTTTTGCTTTTATAAATGTATCCCTTGAAGTGCCACTTGACACATAAACCCAATTTAATACAGGAAGGCTAAATATATTCAAATGGGACCAGGCCGGTCAATCTGGTTGATTCATCTACCTGCAGACCTGATTAAACCAAATGTAAACATTTACTTTTCCTTTTTATTGGTGTCCATTATATAATAGATAATTATTTTATAAAAGGACCACAGTTTTGTGGGATTTAAGCCATTTAGAAGACATGCCCCCCCCCCCACATGTGACATTTCATTTTCTGTTCAGTCTGGAGGGTTCCTGTGACAAGCAGCTAATTTCACCCAGTGAGCTCTGTCACCGGCGTGTCTCCAACAGTCACAGAAGATTATTCACTTGTCACCTGTCAGTCAGCCAGTCAATAGGTTCTTTGTTCCATGGCTTGTACCTATTGTTAGGTGTTGGCGGTGTCACTCATGACTTTCTCTGTGCTGCTAATCTTCCTCTGTGTTCTACAAGGAGAGATTAATAAGCATGTCTACAGATACCATTTACAATTTTTTTTTCTCTTGCACTGAATTTGGATCCTTTGGGGTTTAAAAGGGGGCCAGTGTGGTGACCCCGGGGATAGCTGAGCGCCATGAGGGGCTATTATACCATTCGCTCTATGGAGACACTTCCGGAGAGTGGGGGGGGGCGGTGTGTGGTTTTAGCATTCAGGGACAGTTGTTATTGTCAGACCTCAGGGGGACCAGGCTCAGCGTTGACTTGCAGCTCCAGAGTTGTCTTCAGACCAGGGGTGGACTGACAACTCGTGGGGCCCCCCCCGTGCAATAGGGGATCACGGGGCCCCTGTGTCCTTGCCCAAACTCAAAAAAGCCTATGAAAAAGGTACCAGGGGCATCTCATGGGGCCCAAATAATGAAGAATAGGGTTTAGAGGTTCAAATATATATTGCTGTATCACCCAATATATGGCACCATCCAGTAGCCAACAAATATGCAAACCAACAAAGAAATTGTGAAAAGAGATTCATAAGAAAGCGGCTACATTATGGACAGAATGCGATAATGTCTGGTCTCCCCGGACCCCGCATTCACTATATCCGCTCTCCCCGGACCCCGCATTCACTATATCTGGTCTCCCCGGACCCCGCATTCACTATATCCGCTGTCCCCGGACCCGCATTCACTATATCTGGTCTCCCCGGACCCCGCATTCACTATATCCGCTGTCCCCAGACCCGCATTCACTATATCCACTCTCCCCGGACCCTGCATTCACTATATCCAGTCTCCCAGGACCCTGCATTCACTATAGCCGCTCTCCCCGGACCCCGCATTCACTATATCCGCTCTTCCCGGACCCCGCATTCACTATATCCGCTCTCCCCAGACCCTGCATTTACTATATCCGTTCTCCCCGAACCCTGCATTCACTATGTCTGGTCTCCCCGGACCCCGCATTCACTATCTCTGGTCTCCCCGGACCCTGCATTCACTATGTCTGGTCTCCCCGGACCCTGCATTCACTATATCCGTTCTCCCCGAACCCTGCATTCACTATGTCTGGTCTCCCCGGACCCTGCATTCACTATCTCTGGTCTCCCCGGACCCTGCATTCACTATGTCTGGTCTCCCCGGACCCTGCATTCACTATGTCCGGTCTCCCCGGACCCTGCATTCGCTATGTCTGGTCTCCCCGGACCCTGCATTCACTATATCCGCTCTCCCCGGACCCCGCATTCACTATATCTGGTCTCTCTGGACCAGGGGCGGACTCATAACTCATGGGGCCCCCCGGGCAATAGGGGATCATGGGGCCCCTGTGTCCTTGCCCAGACTCAAAAAAGCCTATGAAAAAGGTACCAGGGGCATCTCATGGGGCCCAAATAATGAAGAATAGGGTTTAGAGGTTCAAATATATATTGCTGTATCACCCAATATATGGCTTCCATCCAGTAGCCAAAAAATATGCAAACCAACAAAGAAATTGTGAAAAGAGATTCACAAGAAAGCGGCTACATTATGGACAGAATGCGATACTCGGAAAAATTTCCAAAAACTTTTGGAAATTTTTCCGAGTATCGCGTTCTGTCCATAATGTAGCCGCTTTCTTGTGAATCTCTTTTCACAATTTCTTTTTTGGTTTGCATCTCATGGGGCCCCCTACTGACCCCAGGCCCTCGGGCAGTGCTCAAGTTCCCAAGTGGTCAGTCGGCCCCTGCTTCAGACATACAAGGCACATTTAGAGGCCGTAGTCTCCCTAGCGGTCTGATTATGTCCATATTTCTGTGCTCAAAGCGGTACTTTTTTCGCATGGAAAATATATCTTTTTTTTACTGTAGGTCTGTAATTTTTAGGAATAACTCACTGAAATCTGTCTGAACAAGAGTCTAGTAAACATCCCGGGTAGGATAAAATTTTAAAACACAAAAACATAAATTATAATATAATAAATAATCATAAAAAATAATAATATAATGATAAAAAATGTAATTCAATAATATAATCAAACCAAAAACACTGAAATGTGAAATATAGCACCAAGTTCGCACATCTCTGAGCAAAGTCGCAAAATCGTTTTCAGTGTCTGATGAGGAATTTCCCCCACGAATCATTATCACTCAATTCTACAAGTGGTTCTGATTTACTATCGCTGTTCTCTAGCCGGTCTAAAACCGCTTTTGACCGAAAGGGACGCTTTTTGGACGCCATGGACGTTTCTCAGTTTCCAGGCAGAAAGAACAGTAAACATGCAGGCAGGGCGCCGGACAAAGCACTCGGGACAAAATGTATGTGAAATGCATTGATACAGGAATGTTATAGTATGTAATTTTAGTGTATTTAGTGAATGTCACTTTTACAACTTTCAAATTTCCCTCCAGTTCCATCCCCCGTACATCCCGACGTCGCAGGGGCGGAACCCAGAAGACAGATGCCGGCATCCGCCGAAGGACATTGCCGGGGACACTGCAGGGGGGACATCGCGGGAGCGCAGGACAAGGTAAGTGCAGGAGGGATCCCAGAGCAGCGGTGAAGTGTATTCCCAAGTGTAGCTCGGGGGGGGGGGGGGGTTACCTCTTGTGGTATACTGAAACTTTACCCCGAGCTACACTCAGGAATACCGCCAGGGGGGTTAATGTGACATTAAACTTTGTTTTTTGATTTTTTTTTAAATCTATTCAGGAATGTGTTCTTAAAGTGTTACTAAACCAACACCAGTACAATCAGTCTGTAGATGCAGTAAAACATGCTTGATATACTCACTGTGGAACCTAAGGGGTTAATCCTCCGCATTGTGTAAAAATGCTGTTTGATCCTGTCTTCTCTGATCATCTCCTTCTTCTACTGTCCCCAATCCATCTGCTGATAGTATAGAGCTCTAGACTTCACTCTGTACATGCTCAGTTTAGTGTGTATGGCTGGAGGATTTTTTTTTTTTTGTTGAGAAGGTGTTTGATCCAGACTTCTCTGATCCTCCCCTTCTTCCAGTGCCCCCCTCTTATTTCCTGATAAGACATATCATGTGGAGGCACTCTGCACATGCTCAGTTTGGCATGTATTGCTCGAGAGGTTTTTTTTTTTTTCTTGGGAGTGTATGTGATCAGCACAGGGCCAATCAGCAATGTCAGGGGTTCTGCAACCT